AAAAAAAAAAAAAAGAAAGTAAATCTGTGAAAACCCTGTATATACAGAGATTGTCTACAGATTGTTCTCTCAATTTGGTCAAGGCATAACTCTTTGAGTCATAGAGCATATATCATTAAAAAAATTTTTATTGAATTTCTGCAACTTCCCAACATTGAATCCAGCGGTGGCTCGCTACTTTCAAATATACGTACACACTGTAAATAGTGGATTTTTATTATTTTTCTATACAATGTAACAGAATTGTATAAGATTGTTGGTGATGAAATTAAATGTTACAAACAGATATAAATAAATCGATGTACTTGTACATTAGGAAAATAGGGATATTCTGTAGTGCATCAGCCGCCCCTGATTGAAAGTGGAACATTGAAATTTTCTAATAGGCGAAAAGTACAATTTAATGGAAAATGGCCTGAAGAACACGATTTGTTCTCAAAACTGGTTGGCCAAAGATGCTTCTAGAAGCATATATCAGTTGTTGATCGATCAATGAAAATCGTTCGATCGATGGTACTCGATCAATAAGATATCATTCTATCAAGAGCAGAGTTGACTATCAGATGATTGGATAATAATAATCGTGGATGCTTGTTTTGGAAATTTTCTCGGCAAGTTCCTACGAACAGAATAATATATATTTCGACAGTAAATATTTTTCTCAAATTACTCGTCAAAACTCGTTCCAAAGAGTAAGTTTCGCGAGATAACACCGGTATCGTTCGCAACACGCGACGAGCTATTAACGAAACCATAATCTGAACGAGGAGGTCGTGATCTATGACATCAATCGAGATTTCACTGAAATTTATACGATTGGCCGCATTTCGTCTGAAACATACTGCGACAGACATGCTATTAAAAGCAAATAAATATATAACAAATGTTTATTTCACTTTTTCATACATACTACACGAGCACAAGTGCTATTTTAGTTGTACTTCTTATATTTTCTTCTTGCACGCTTGAAACCATGTCTGTGTTTAATTTTATCACCTCGAGTGTGACTCATCTGCCGGAGAAAAACTGCTTCACGGAATTACCTGTGAGACTACGAGGAGAGCAATTATTTAGATAGACAATCTCTCGCGATTAGAGATATTCATAGGCTATGGATATTTATTCATTCTTTTTTTTTTATGAACCTAAGCAAAAAAAAAAAAAAAATGAAAGTTTTATTTGTCTTTCTTGCTAAATGTTCTAAATGTTGTACCACATCTTGACTGTTTTTTACATATTTTTATATATTGTTATTGAAATTTGCATTAATAATGTATATATACAATCTTGCGTAACTCTGTATATAAGTTCTCTAATCATTATTAAAATTTATATTTTAAATATTACCGAAAGAAATGTCGCACTTTGAAATTTTTAAAAAAATTCGTAGCCTAATAATGAATTTATAACTCTGCGTAATTTCATATACAAGTTCTTTAATTATTATCTAAATATTTAAATATTTAGATATTTTTATAAATTAATTTAAATTTAAATATTTAAATATTGTTGGAATAAAATGAATAGCCTGAAATTTAATTAATAATCTATTTCTTATAAAATTAGAAATACTGACGATTAGAGATACTGATTCACGTTGGTTTTTTTATATTCTCGATTATACAGTGATAGACACGCAATTGCCCTGTTTTTATAGTATCCCGATTTACATTTACATTTACTGAAATAGAGATATGTAGTGATATCTGTGAGAATCTTCGTTTAATTTTACAGAGTGAAATCTTTTAAATCTTCGAATTAATAAATTAATCGTGACACTGTTCCAATAATTGATTGTTCTAGTAATAATCAAGATTCTAGTTTATATTTTTCTTCTCAGTTCACCCCTTGAACGCATATTTCTAGAGAAGAGTTTTCATACGTTTTTGGACAGGAAAGAATGCACGCCGTGTACTCTTCGTTTTACCACATTGTGTCAGTTTTAGAGAACATAGCATTGAAATTCATAATTATGAACGAAATATGTAACGAGTAGACTACGGATTTTCATGCATTTATAGCAATTTTTAAATCGCGAAATGGCACACAATAATCGTAATATAAAAAAAGATATGTAAGATTTATACAACAAAAGTTTCTATGATATTTTACAGGTAAAATAATTATCTATTCTTTCTTAAATATATTCCGAATTTGCATTAAAATCCCCAATCTAATAAACGAGTAATATCAACAATATTAACAAGATATATCCCAGAGATTACTCCTTTATACATAAATAATTTTTATGTATATATATTTTTGTAGTTTTTTATGTGTTACTACATTTATTCCAGATAATATTGGTAGTTTCTTTATTATAATAAGAGATAAACTAAGCAATGGTAAAATTTAAAATGGCCAAAAAATATTCAACGATAGAAATATTATATAATATGGAATAAAACTATCCAACGAAGTTGCAGGAACATTAATAAACATTTATAACTATAACAGATTTATAATATTTATAACTATTTATATTTATATTTATTATAAAATGTTTAACAATTATTCGATTCACTTAGCACGCTCGATGGTTTTGTCAGCAGCCACGAAAACGTTGTTGGGAACGACTGAAACAGTAATGACTTGAAAATATTTTACTTTCGTTGACAATTTTAAGAAATAACAGCGGTCAAGCTCCACATCGGATAGTTTATCATCTTTTTCTTTTCTATCAATAATTTAATCGTCTTTTTATGCTAATGAACAGATAGTGCACGGAAGTTAAAGTAAATAAATGGTTTATCATTTGGCAGCGAAGATAAACGAAAATGGAGAGAAGTTTGAAGCAATGTTTTGCGACGTAGCAAAACTGGAATTGTTACTCGCAGATTATTAAGAAAATGGAGAAATAATTGAGAAGCTTTTTGAGAAAATCATTGATATTAATTAAATTTTTTAAATATTAATTAAGTTTTTTTCTTAGTCTTTAATTCCCTTTAATTCCTTAATCTTTAAATATTTTTTAAATATTAATTAAGTTTTTTTCCGAGTCTTTAATTCCTTCGCTATTATAGTTCTACTGTTGTAATTAAATATTAAATAGTTTGTATTAAAAATAATAGAACTATTAATTTACTGCTCACTGTTTAATTTCACTGCTTATTTTAGAAAGTGTGGAAAATATTCGTACGCTGTGAATGAAAAATCGTTTAAACTCTTACAACTAGACCAGCGGATTTTTATGAAAATTAATATTGTTTAGAATTAAAAAAATAATTGAGAAAAGTAAAAATTAGCTTATAAACGAAATGTCACACCGAGCACTACATTTTGGATATTTGATGTATTCTTTCAAATTATGTGCATCCTGTGTAATTTTGCACTTTAAAATTTTTTATAAATGCATAAAATCTTTATCGATCTTAATATTATTGTAATTCATGTAATGTAATGTAAGTCATAATGTAATATGTCAATATTAATGTAATTCTTAATAGGCCACGTAAGACAAATTATGCAAAGATAGCAACGCATTTGATTTTTAAAAATTATTTATGAATATAGTTGCTTGTAACTAATGATTGAACATGTATACAAATCGTAACCGATAAGCAAATAATAAATGATCGTAGTAAGTTTTACAAGGACTAGTTATTAAGTATAAAAACAGGTAGTTGTTACGAATTTTCAACAGTTCGCTAGGCAATCGAACGATTGTAATCGAAACTTTTCCAAGATGTCTCGTACAACTATAATTTTCCTTTTTGTTTTCGTCGCTTATCTAGCCAGTAAGTGCATTATTGATACTAGAATTTCATTTTAAACACTTTCCTTTATCTTCTATAATTCAATACTTCAAAATATTTCTTTATATTTTCGAACACTGTAAAAATTCTTGTTTGCAATAACAATTTCAAGTTAAACTCAGTTTAGTGTAGAATTTAATTTTTCTTTTCTTTTTTTTGCTTTTGAAATGTAAGGGATTATATCCTCATGGAGCAAAAGGAAGTAGGAATAGAAACAATGAACAGAATAAAAGTGAAACTAGAGATAGAAATGGAACTTTATGATAGAAATATTTCTCTATTTGTAACTGATCACTCTACGTGCTCTCGATTCCATTCTATTTAATTGTGCGATTATTTCGAGATGTATTTTTTGTGCTTCTTTTTTATTTTTTATTTTATTTTATTTTATTTTTTCATGTTTTTTTCGATATACATAGTAAGCGGCGCAAACATCCACAACACGGACAACGTCATCGACAGTGTCCATAAACTCATCAAAACCCGCAGCATCGACGCCGTCCATAATTTGGACAGCCTCAATGTACTCAGCGGTCCCAATGGACCCATCAATCCCAATGGACCCATCAATCCCAACGGACCCAACAGTCCCAACGGACCCAACAGTCCCAACGGACCCAACAGTCCCAACGGACCCAAGAGACCCAACGGACCCAACGGACCCAACAGACCCAATGGACCCAACGGACCCAACGGACCCAACAGACCCAACGGACCCAACGGACCCAACAGTCCCAACAGACCCAACAGTCCCAATGGACCCAACAGTCCCAACGGACCCAACAGTCCCAACAGTCCCAACAGTCCCAACGGACCCAACAGTCCCAACGTACACAACAGACACAATAGACACAACAGTCCCAATGGCCCTAATAGAGCCAATGGACTCAACGGACCCAATGGACCCAATGGACCCAATGGACGCAACGATCC